AATGAAACAAGATGAAACCAGAGAGGGAAACAAACCATAAGACTCTGAATCTTAGGAAACAAACTGAGGGTTGCTGGAGTGGTGGGGGGTGGGAGGGATGGGGTGGCTGGGTGATGGACATTGGGGAGGGTATGTACTATGGTGAGCGCTATGAACTGTGTAAGACTGATGGATCACAGACCTGTACCCCTGAAACAAATAATACATTATATGTTCAAACAAACAAACAAACAAAAAAATGAAGGGAAAAATGAAGGGGGAAATCGGAAGGGGAGACGAACCATGAGTAACTACGGACTCTGAGAAACAAACTGAGGGTTCTAGAGGGGAGGGCGGTGGGGGGGATGGGTTGGCCTGGTGATGGGTATTAAAGAAGGCACATATCGAATAGAGCACTGGGTGTTATAGGCAAACAATGAATCATGGAATACTATATCAAAAACTAATGATGTAATGTATGGTGACTAACATAACATAATAAAATAAATTAAAAAAAAAAAGTAGAGGAAGCATTTTACCTTCATCATCCCATCATCCAGTCTTGCATTGCTTAGCACCAAGAAAGATCCCCTTGTCCATGACTTCCTCACTATGGGGGAAAGCACGAGCAGGAAGATCCCAGCAGCCTTCACCATAGAAGACCCCAGCAACCTTTTCCACAAAGCTTTTGCCAGTTTTTGCCACCAAATATCCCTACAGTTTTTGCCGACGTTGACCTCAGCTGGTGAAGCTGCCTGGGAAGTACGAGCTGCTTTGCACCCCTCATCCCAGGCCAGAGCAGCCATTGCTCCCAGCCCCATTGGTGCCAGCGCTGTTGACCCACCTGCCCCATTCTGGCACATGACTGGGACCTGGCTGCACACCTGCTCCATGTGCACCTGTACTCTGGATCCTGGCACTGCTGCCCCTCCATGCATGCCTGTGCACTAGACCCCAGCTCCACAAATATGTGGAAACTAAAGAACGTGCTCTTGAGCCACTATTGAGTCAGAGGAAATCAAAGGGAATTTTTAAAGTATCTTGATAAAGAGAACAGATCAGTGGTTACCAGAGGGAAAGGAGTTGGGGGTGGCTTTGTACGGTAATGGATGGTAAATAGACTTTTGGGGGTGATCACTCTGTCATGTATACAGTTGTCAGATTAGAATGTCACATACCTGAAATATATAATAACAATTTAAAAAGTATCTTGAGACAAACAAAAATGAAAACAGAACATACCAAAATTTATGGGATGCAACACAAACATTTTAAGAGGGAAGTTTTTAGTGATAGATACCTACACTAAGGAAGAAGAAAGATCTCAAATGAATAACCTAACATTATACCTCAAGGAACTGGAAAAAGAAAAACAAATTTGACTCAAAGTTAGCAGAAGGAAGGAAATAATAAAGATTAGAGCAGAAATAAATCAAATATGAATAAAAATGGAAAAATCAATAAAACTAAGAGTTGTGTTTTTTTTTTTAAATAAACAAAATTGATAAAACTTTAGCTAGACTAAGAAAAAGAAAAGGGAAGATTCAAATAAATAAAATCAGGACTGAAAGAGGAGACATTACAATAGATGTCTTAAAAATAAAAAGGAGCATAGGGACTATTATGAAGAATCACATGCCAAAAACCTGGATAACCTAGAAGGAATGGATAAATTCCTAGAAACATATGACGTACCAAACTCAATCAAGGAGAAATTGACAACCTGAACAGAACAATAACAAATAAGGAGAGGAGATCAGTAATCAAAAACCCCCCCAGCCATGAAAAGCCCAGGACCAATCTTTCTTAAACTCTTTCAGGAAATTGAAGATGAGGGAGCACTTCCAAACTCACTTTATGAGACCAGCATCACCCTGATACCAAAACCAGGCAAAGGCACTACAAGGAAAGAAAACTACAGGCTAATACCTCTGATGAACATAGCAGAGAGGAGAATGACGGTCCTTCAGGTAGGGGGAAATGGGGAGATGTTGGTCAAGGTGTACAATGTTTCAGTTACACTGGGTGAATAAGTTCTGGAGATCTAATATCCAACACTGTAGCTATAGTTAATGATACTGTACTGTGTACAAAATTTGCTGGGAGAGTAGATCTTAAGTGTTCTTACCTCACACAAAAATGATGCTAACTATGTAAGGAGATTGATATGTTATATAGCTTGAACGTGGTGATTATTTTACAGTGTATCTGTATATCAAATCATTGTGTTGTATACCTTACACGTATACAATTTTTAATTGTCAATTATTCCCCACTAAAGTTGGAAAACAGGGATGCCTGGGTGGCTCAGTCAGTTAAGCATCTGCCTTCAATTCAGGTCATGATCTCAGGGTCCTAGGATTGAGGCCCGTGTCGGGCTCTCTGCTCAGTGGGGAGTCTGCTTCTCCCTCTCTCTCAAATAAAAAAAATCTTTAAAGTTGGAAAAAAACAGTTGCACAAAAAGTAGTAACTTCAAATTTTTAGGAAGAGACTCATGAGGAACTTAACACAATATATATATACTGTGATACAAAGAGTGTTAAAATTCTTGAACTGTGTGGCTGAATAGAATCTTTATTATTTTACTCCTATCCTCCAAACTACTCATGTGACAAAACAAACACATACAAAAATTTAAAAACTCTTACTAAACAAACAAACACAAAACTAAGAGCTTCCCAACTAGAGGTCTCTGGGTCGGTTATGAAAATAATCAACTTGCCATTCAAAAGAGAAACTGTTGCCTTTGCATATTATAGCAACTTTAACTTCCATTTTTTCTTAAGATTTTATTTATTTATTTGACAGAGACACAGCGAGAGAGGGAACACAAGCAAGAGGGGGTGGGAGAGGTAGAAGCAGGCTTCCCGCTGAGGAGGGAGCCCAATGCAGGGCTTGATTCCAGGACTCTGGGATCATGACCTGAGCTGAAGGCAGACGCTTAACGACTGAGCCACCCAGGCACCCTGTTAACTTCCATTTTTAAAATAAGTTTAAAACATGAAAAAAATGTACCATATTAAACTTGTGTAAAATCAGTCATGTTTTCATTGTTGGCTAGTAATGATTGACAAGAATAAGATAATGAGAAAAATTAAAATTCCAAATGAATTTCTAGGGAATATGACAATGACATCAATAAAAATGTTTCTCCACATATAATTCTTAACAGATTAATAAAGCTTATTTTAATGAAGACAACATGAAAATAGTAAAACATATTCTATGAAGAGTTACATGTTTGTTTTCTATGGAAATCACTGTAGTGACCATTTCACTGAAAAACCAGTAGCATTACAGGGTCTGGTTTAAGAAGGATCTAGTCATGTCATTCTCTTTCATCCTTTGCATCTTGATTTTTCTTTTTTCCTTGAAGACCTTCTTCTCCATCTTCTACTCTCTCCTTGTCAACATAGTCATCACAATATCCATCCTGAAATTCTTTCTTTGAACATAAGAGATCTATTTCCTACTTTCCCTTTCCCAATTCTGAACTTGCTTCATCTTGCCCTCATTCTCCTTCTCTTCCTCCTCTTCCTCATATTCTCTGGGTGGACCAGCTCCATCCTCCCCATTAGCTTTGTTATGGTTATTTCCATACTCATCCTCTTCCTCTTCAGAGTTGATGTTCATTATCTTGCTGACCAAATCCCTTTAAGTATGTTATGCTATAGCCATTCAAAGACTCTCAACTATTAGGATTATGATTTCATAGTTAAACAAGTCATGACTTTTCTATTTTTTAATATTTTCCTGAACATCTACTGAACTGAGTACTTTGATTTTGGTTCCATTCAGATTGAAGTAGTTAGAATTTGGTCATTTCCCTTTCAGAACTCCCAAGCCCCTAGAACTGATATTGACACTAAGAACTCTGGTCAATGAAGTTAGTTCCACTTTAGCCATATTTAGAAACCCTGGTTTTTTAAAATATCCATTCATGCTTTCAATTTCCCAATGAATGACTAGCAATTATCAAAGACCAATTCGGTCACTCAGGGTCTTCATTGCCCCCCTCTTCCTCAACTACCATGAATCTTGTTTCTCCTTTCTTCCCTCTTGCACTATCTCCAACTCCAAAATTTGCAAAAGATTTGGAAGTGAACGAAAAGAAAGACAAATACACCACTGACCGCCAGCAAAAAAACATACAGAAGGTAAAGAACAGAAAAACAGATGCAGTCCAAAGAGGTGCGATGCTAACATTGCCTCCTGTCCTCCTTGTTCACACATTCACAGTTATTTTCCCTTCAACAGCTATTCAAAGCTTGAGTGATTTTTTTTTAAGTATGATATAATCAGAACTGTATTTTTGGAATATTAATCTGATGGTTGTGTGTGTAAATTGGGCCAGAGAGGTAAAAAAAAAAAAAAGCAAGAAATTAACTAGGAAAGTATTTTATTAGCCAAGGAAAGAAAAAAATGAGAAATTAAACAGCAATCTTGTCAATGGGAAGGAAGCTAAGGATATAAGTAGTAGTGATGTCATGGAGCTAGAATTTGTTAGAGTTGGCTTTGAGACTGGGTGATTAGCAGGAGGGTGATGGTGACTTTATCATGAGAAGGGAGTCAAGGAGGGAGCTCAGGGGAAAGGTGCTGAGTGTAGTTGGCCACTTGAGATTGAAGGGCTGCTTCATCATCTAAGTGGGGGTTCCCTATAAGTAGATGGCCAATGGAACTGGAGGAATGGGGTTGAGAGTAAGCCCCAAAGATAGGGTGTTAGAGCCTTCAGCAGATAAAACATTTTTTAAAAACTACTGTATTTAAGAAGAGATACTTAGGAATGAATCTGAGAAGAAACAGTAAGATAATGAGCAGGGGAATCCTGAGAGCTAATTCTCTAGAGGCTGAGAGGGACGAGAATTTAGAGAAGTGAGAGATGCCTACTCAGAGACAGAGAAGAGTGAGAAGTTTTTCTGCCAATGTCAAGAACACTGACAGAGGGTCTAACCTGCCAGTGAAGAGACATACTACTTTTCCACAGATGGTAGTGTCATCCAGTTCTGGGGGAAGTGTGCAGACACAAAGTAGAAAAGTACACCCCCTTCCCTCTCCTCTTTTCCCTTGATGTTTGTTCCACCCTAGGTGAAAGAAGAGGTGGAATTGAGCTCGGTCCAGTCTCTACAGAGAGCCAGAAGTGCTTTGGATAGAGTCAGTGTACCCTTCCCAAGCCGCCCCCTGTTTTTCTCTACTCTGCTCTTTGCCCTCTGAGGCTAACCTGACTGGATTAAATCAGTGGACTTTTCTGCCTCCTGTTTCCTGTTGGTTTTGGCTTGTGGTGACCTCTGGTGAGAAGTCACAGGACAGTAGGAAAGTATTATGGGGTATTTCTTCCCAGCTCCTCCATGGCAGGATTTTTGCCAAGGGCAGTCCTCTATAGTGGCTGGTCAGGATGACTCCCAGTGGTTGTTTGGTTTCCCAAGAGGAAGCATTAAGTTTTAATAAAAGGGCAGGGGATTAAGAGCACAGTCTTTAGGAGTCTCCTGACATTGAGCAAGTCTCTGGCCCTCAGTTTCTGTGTCTATGAGAGGGTGTGGGGTCAGCCTGGTGACTCTGTCATGGTCTGGAATGTCCGAGCTGTTAGAAACCTAAGGCTGGAAATGCCTATTTGCCTGAGGAGATGGCTGTGTGTTGGTGGCCGTGAAGTTCAGATAGTGCTTTTCTTGTTTGACTTGGAAACGGTATTTTCCCTCACAGTGTGAGGATTAGAGAGTCCTGCATTTGGCTTGAAGAGGGCCTACTGACCTAATTAAGTGACCAACCCTGTCCCACTTGCTTAGAATGTGTGTTTCAGAAATATGACTACAATCCAGAAGGAAGCAAGCCCAAAGCTTGTCTCAACAGGTATTTGGAGGTTATCTCTTCTCCTATATAAAGTTCTCAAGCTTTTGATGTAAAGAAAAAGCATTTATTATCATGTTTTACTCCCTAGAGTTTACTTTCCTATATACCAATAAATAGAAACTGCATATGCACATATTTCCTGGTTTAGTGCTGGGGGGAAGAAAGGTAGATAGTAATGCACCAGCAATTTTAACAAGGGGTTTAACAGGTAAGTGGTTGTAGACTCGGAAAAATTCTACTGAGGTAGTGGAGTAAAGTCTTCTGATCACATTCAAAAGAGAAATCCTTCTGACCACATAGATTCAAGACAGAAACAGGTATGGGGACCACACAGAAGCTCCACGTATCTGGGGGATACAAAGCAGTTTCTAAGAACGTGGACTCTGAGGAAGACAAACTCAGATCCAAACCTGTTGAAGGAGGTCATTGAGAGGATGTGATCACGGGTTGAACCATGAGCTGGACCCAGGCAATTAGAGGCTCCTCCTTCCCCCACCCCACCCACCCCCATCCTTGGAATGTACGTTCCACCCACTGTCCACACTAGGAGTCATTTTCAAGGACACAGCCTTGAGGCAGTAATGTGTTATTGAGACCATCTGGACTAGATACATGATAGGCTCCTGTTCAACACCTCTATAAACTTGTAAGATTCTGTCAGACAGGTGCAGAGATCTACTTGTCTTGCTGTCACCTAAGACAAGGCTTGTATGTAAGTTCTCTTGCTTATTAAACCCACCAATCTAGAGTGGACTGCCTCTTTTATAGTCACTCACATATTTTGATAATTCAACAGGAGATTTTGAGGCTACATGGTGCTGTGAAAAAAGAATCTTTGTTCAAATCCTGGTTCTGCTATTTGCCAGTTTGGGAGTTACTTTAACCTCTCTGAAACCTTGCAAGGTTATGAAGATTAAATGGATGACAAATCTATGTACCTATTATTAGTGTCTACCTTATATAAGCCTTCAGTAATAATAGCTGTTATCATTGTTAATATGGAATACTGGAGTTCTAAAATGCAAACATAAAAAAAGAAAGACAGATACTATATGATTTCACTTATATGTGGAATCTAAAAAACAAAACAAAGGAACAAACAAAACACAGAATCGGACCTATAAGTACAGAGAATTGATGGTTGCCAGAGGGGAGGGGTTTGGGGTGGGGAATGGGCAAGATGGGTGAAGGGAAGTGAGAGATTCAGGCTTCCAGTTATGGAATGAGTAAGCACTAGGGATGAAATGTACAGCATTGGGAATATAGTCAATGAGCACAGCATGATGTATAGATTTAGCGAATCACTATGTTGCTCACCTGAAACTAATGTAACCGTTTGTGTTAACTATACTTCAATACAAACAGATGAAGTCGATAAACTTCAGAGTGGAAAAATGACTTATCCAAAGTCATAGAAAAGGAGGGACTAGAACCAAGTCCTCCAAGCTCTAAGCCAAATGCTTTTTGCCTCTCCATACTTATCTGTCTCCATGAGGTAATTATGTGAAACACATGCTTCATGGAGCTCATACAGTGGAGAAGTGTGGTGACAAATCCCATGGAGCCCGGGGGACTTGCAGTCAGAAATTGAGTTAAAATCTGGCTCTGCCACACACCAACTTTGTGATCTTGTGAAAGCCATGCATCTTCTATGAACTGCCTTTCCTTCGTCTTGTAAAATGGTGATAATGACCCGTGCTTGCTTTCCAGGAATGTTGTAAAGTCCAAACGAGTTGAAACAGAAGTTTAAAACTGTAAGGAGCAGCAGGTGCATTAGGGATTCGTATTTATAGTACATCCTTAGAAGTGGCAAGGGAGCGTAATTTGCTTAATATTGGTTCATCAGTATCACGAAAATAATTTATTTGACAGGTCTGCTTGCCGGCAAGGAGAAGCAAACAGGATAAGAACTGCTCATTCCAGCAAGGTGGGCATGTGTGTGGGTGCCTCTGATGCGTGTTGCTCTAACAAGAATAAATCCAAGAGCTACAGCTAGCTGGAGTTCTCTCTGCAGCTGTCGTCAAAGAAACCAAGTGTGACATCTGAAAGTGATTAGAAGTGATTCCGATCCGGACTTGAATCCCTTGACAGACATCAACAGGGGTGGAACTCCTACTCAGTTCTTCCACGCCCCCTTTTGCCCTACCTCCCATCTTCGTCTCTCACACTCTCTATCCACCCCAAACCTTTCCATCCTCCATGGAACGTACCTGGGTAAAAACACAAAACAACACAAAACCGAGCCTTAGTGATCTCCATGTTTCTTCTCTCTTATCCTTTGCCCCTGTATTTTATGCTATTAATGGACTAAATATTTGCCTTTCTGATGAAATTTCTCTCCACTTCTCCATTCTTCTCTCTTCTCATTTGCCAATTGTCTGTTGAAAATAGGCCAGAAGCAGAACTGCAGCATTTTGAATCTATTTTTTGAAGGTGGGGAGGGATTGAGGTCTAGTGAAAAGCCCAGAACAAGGCAGAATTTTCTTGAATACATTGGGGAAGGGAAAAACATAACAAACACTTACAAATTAATTTACACCTAAATTTATTATGGTTGGTTTTCATCTCTCAAAAGGAACGACTTAATTAGCAATGTGGATACGAGGATGTGAAATTTGTGTGATGGGACCAGACATACGGAAATTAGTTGTAGGGAGTTGCTTATGTTTTGGTTCACACTCATAGAAGTTTTTCGCCCATATTTTCTTCAGGCATTTAAGTGTCTCTCTTGTGCCCTAGATTTGTGCTACTGACCACACCTCCTACCTACTCTCCTTGTTATTATTAGT